AAATGCTCAAAATCACTGGCAATAAGAGAGATGCAAATCAAAATCACAATGAGATACCATCTCACTCTAGTAGCAGAGGCAAAGTTTAACAGGACAGCAAGTAAGAAATGTTGGAAACCTCCTAGAGGGTCAACTTTGAGTTGGTTCTGATTCAATGTCAATGAAATTTTTTAGAATTTGCCAAGGTTGCTACTTTAATGCATAACAACCACTTAAATGCATATACTATTCTATGTTTTATTACTTAAAACCTGTCATTAAACATTTATGATTATTAGTCTTATATTTAGTGACCAAGCAATGAAATTTAGGTCAATAATCTTCATAAAATGTATGTGCACAAGCATATTCTCCTCCCCTTGTTACACACTCCAAATCAATCAATAATGAATAATAGAGATAATACATATGTGAAACATTTTATGTAAAATAGCTTCAACTTTATATGATCTTATTGAAGTGATCTGGCTTTATTTAAAAATGGCTTGGATGGGGAGCTCTGGTGGCCTGGTGGCAAGAAGCTGCAACTACAATCCCAGAGGTGCACAGTTCGAATCCACCAGATGCTCTGCCGGGGAAGGAGGGGTAATCTCCTCCTGTACCAGTCAGATATGATTTGATGGTACACGCACACAAAAATTTTAAAAAAAAATGGCTTGGAAAAGTTCTATCTTTGCATACTCAACTTTGTTAACAAAAATTTATAACAACTATTTTGTATTTCCCCTTCATATCTCTGCTTCCACACTGGATCTAATAACCAAGCGATATTCTACCATTGAACCTTAACTACCCTAGGACTCATCCTTGACTGGTTTCAGCCCTACTTAAATAGTTTAGATGGGAGAATTAGAAGTAATGATCTCAAACTTTCAATGAAAAATTAATATTTAACCTGAAAAAGAAACACAATTACAGAAAAGATATGACATTCTTAATTTAAATATGTGGATAAGGGTATGACCTTGAGTCTATCCCATCTGAATTTAAAAAATAATCTCAAGAATACATTTGATAAACAACCAGAGGAGCTGTGGGATGGAATCCAGGAAATCATTCATAAAGAGAGCAAAAAGTCATTACAAAGAGAGTAGAAGGAAAAGACAAAAATTAATGTTAAAAAATACTCTGAAAGCACTTCCAATACAATATTTAAAAGAATGATGACAGAGAAAATCCTTGTCTGGTCCCCAAAGCAATCTACATGTTCAATGCAATCCCAATTCAGGTGCCAAATTCATTTTTCAAGGAGATTGATAGAGAAATTATCACATTTATTTGGAGAGGTAAGAGACCGGAATAAGCAAAACACTTCTAAGAAACAGAAATGAGGTTTGAGGCATAGCACTCCCTAATCGCAAAACTTACTACAGAGCAGTGGTAACCAAAACAGCATGGTAATGGTACAATGACAGCACATAGATCAATGGAACAGAATTAAGAACCCAGAAATAGATCTAGCTATCTATGGTCAACTGATATATGACAAGGAAATCAAAGCTATCAAATGAGGAAATGACAACCTTTTCAACAAATGGTGCTGGCAAAACTAAACTTCTACGTGCAGAAAGCTGAAACAGGATCCACATCTCACACCATACACAAAAATCAACTAAAGGTGCATCAGAGACCTGGGAGTAAAGCCCAAAACCATAACATTCATAAGAGACAAACTGGGATCAAGTTTAGAAGCACTAGTTCAAGGTATTGGAAGGAGGAGTGGTATCCATTTCCATAATAGCTTGCCTCTGGAAACCCTATGAACCTGGAGAGAGGATGAAAGGCACCCAAGCGTCGAGGACTTTCCTTCATAGGGTCGCTATGAATCGCCTGCGACTGGATGGCACTTAACAACAAACAACAACAGTTCAAGGTAGAAAGAGACTACCAACTACAATAAGAAATGCATAATCTGAAGAGGATAAAAATGATGCATGGAACATTCTAAAGATTAACTCCATGTATGCATCAAAACCTTTTTGCATTGCAACAGGTTGAACACAAAACCTACAGACTGGGAACAAACATTTGGTAATATCATCTCAGACAAGAGTCTTATAATAAAAGTTTACAGAATACTCAAGAAAAAGATTGATAACCCAATTACAAAATGGGCAAAAGACATAGAAAGAATTTCCACAGAGGAAGATATTAAAATGGCAAACAGATACATAAAAAAAATGCCCCAAATCACTGGCAATAAGAGATGCAAATAAAAGCCATAATAAACCATAATGAGGTATCAAATCATACCAGTAATAGTGGCAAAGTTTAACAGTGAAGCAAGTAATAAAAGTTTGAGAGGAAGTGGCAAGAAAGGAACTCTTACACACTGTTGGTGGGATTGTAAAATGGTGCAACCATTCTGGAAAGCAGTTTGGTGCTTCCTCAAAAAGCTGAATATAGAAATTCCATATGACTCAGCTATTCCACTACTTGGAATATAACCTGAGAATATGAGAACTGAGGCACAAACTGAGATTTGTACACCAATGTTCATATCAGCATTATTTACCATAGCAAGAACATGGAAACAACCCAAATGTCCAACCATAAACAAATGGATTGAGAAATTATGGTACATTCACCCAACAGAATACTATGCAGCACACAGGAGCAATGATTTTGTAAATTATTACCTAACTTGGGAGGGACTGGAGAGCATTATACTGAATGAACTAACTCAGCCCTACAAGGATAAATATTGTATAAAACAATTATTGTAGAATGAGTATAAGGATCCAGGAGGGGTAGGAGAGGGTAGAAGCAGAGGGATGAGGATATACTGGAGGAGGGGGTATTAACCATTCGGTTTTACAATTTTATGGGTGAGGGAAATTGAAAGAATTTGTTCTTGAAAACAATGTATTCAATTTTTATAAATAAAGTAGTGGGGGTGGGGGAGAGAATAGTTCCACTCTTTCTAAATAAAGCCAGTATCTGTCGCAGAAAATTAAAAAAAAAAATTTTAAAAAAACCCACACAAAAAACCTCTGAAAATTGCACTGGAGCATCAAGAAGCCAAGATAAAGGGAAGAGATACAGAGGTAAGGATTAAAAAAAGATTTCAAAGTGCAGCTCTCAAACAAAAAGCAAATTATTGTAATGATATATGCAAAGAGCTGGAGTAAGAGAATAAAATGGGAAGAATTCATTTGACATTTCTCAAACTGAGAAAACTGAAAAACAAACTCAAACACAGAATTACAAATACCAAGAGATGCTATGGGTAAGATCTTAATCATCCAGAAGGCATCAAAAGAAGACAGGAGTGAATATTCAAACATTACATGAAAAAGAATTAGTCAACCATGAAATATTTTAGGAAGTAGCATATGATGAAGACTCAATGGTAACGAAGGAAGAAGTTTAAGCTGCATTCGAGGCATTGGCAAAAAAAATAAGACCTCAAGAATCTATAGGAGTTATAGCTGTTAAGTTTTGTGGTGTTGTTTACCCTGCTCGAAAAGAAAGTTGTTTCTTATCTATTCATGTCTGCTGTGCTTTTGTAGCAGTCCAGGTATTCTTAATCTCATACATGTTGGGGGAGAAGGGGAAGGGGAAAAAATAGAATAAAAAAAAGAGAAAGAATCTATGGGATACCAATTGACACATTTTTAACTAACAAATGAGCCCTTGATGTGCTCCACAGCCTGTACAAGGAATCAGAAGACACCTACTTGGCCAACAGATGGAAGAGATTCATATTTGTTCCCATTCCCAATAAAGGTGATCCAACAGAATGTGGAAATGATTGTACAGTATCATTTATATTGTTATTGTTGTTGTTGTTGTTGCTGTTGATTGCCGTTGACTCAAGCATGACTCATAGCACTCCTATGAATAAAAAGCCTGAAGTCTTTTGATAATCGTTAACATTTATCAAAGTTCATAGAGTTTCCAGAGGCATGTTGTTTAGGAAGTGG